AAAAAAAAAAAAACAAAAAGTTGTTTTATATGAACTAGAATAGGATACTGCTTGGTGCATTAGAGAAAAATTGGCCTATTGATAATAGAAACACAAATTTGATCAATTAGATTAGTTATGTAATCAATTTATGCATATGCAACTCGGAATCACCGGATAGGTTCAGTCTCATAAGTTACCAAGATTCAGCATAAACAAACCTTTGATCCAAACACAACTCAAATAACCCCCTTCACCTTGAACTTGGGTTATGTTTGGGTTGAAATAATCTACGTAAAATATGTGCTCTCTCAAGTTATGCTAGATCAAGGGCTATATAGCTTAGTGATATAAGTACACAATTATAATTGAGGGTTCTAAGTCCCCATATGGGCAAAACGTGGGTGTGTTTCTTACTTAGGTAAAAAAAAAAAAAAACCAAAAGAAGGTTATATTAGTAATAAGTTTCGATTAGGTCTCAAATCCCTTTAAATAATGTTGGCGCCCGAAATTTATTTTTAGAGGCACATTAAACATAATAAAAAATGATAAGTGCACAAAACTTGCTATTTTATACTCAATAATAAATGATTAATTAATATTTTTTATTAAATAAATATGTTTATCCCTGTTTTTTTTATGTTTTAAAGGGGCTGATTTCGGAATGAAAAGAAAAGAGACAAAATAACAAAAATATAAAATTACACGATCAGTCAAAGTCAAAATTCAAAATTAGCTTTTCTATCAAATCAGTAAATATCAAGCCAAATTGGAAAGCAGCAAGATTTTAGGAAGATTTTATATTTATATTTTTATTTTACTTTATTTTATTTTCACTTCTTTAATTATAATTTTCCCCTCCCAACCGTTCCATTCTAAGCTCTATAAATAGAGACATATGTAGAGGAGATTGGAGGTACAAAACTAGTGAGAGAAAATAATAAACTTGAGAATTTTTATCTTGAATCTCTTTCATGCATTTTTAATTTTATGTTTATATTCTTGTTAACATGCTAGCTTAAACATTATGAAGCCACTGTGGTTGAAATATAAGTAAATTTAGTTTATCTCTTTTATGAAATTTTCTCTTGAGCATTGATTTTTTTGATTTTATTCTTTTATTCTAATATTTTTATGTGAAAAATATAGAGGGAGGATTTTTCGTGTTTGCCAAGTAATTATAATACAAAGAATGCCTACTTCTATTTTTTTTTTTTTTTTAACAAAGCTAAAACAGATTAAATAAAAAGTGTTCTCTCATATAAGCAACTGTTATATAATGTCATATTTTCATTCATATTTTCAAGTTGTAATTGGACTAGTGAAGTGATTTGCTTGAGAAAACAAAATCATGTAAGAAATATAAAAATTTATTTATATTGAGTCGTGGTGGTGGATTCTTTTCTTTTAGAGTTTTCCATTATTTGATTACAATCCTTCAATTCTAGGTTTTATTTTCATTATTAAAAAAAAATTCCAAATTGTTTTAAAAGTTCTTCTTCTTTGAATTTTGGTTTTGATTTTGAGTTCACGAGTTTAAATCTTGAATGTGTGGTTCAACCCTACCTATCACTATATCATTTTTAGTTTAGTCTTTGTAAGTTTTTCTTTATTTTTGCACGAAGTATAGAGAAGCAAAAACAATATCTATAAATCTATATTCGTCAAAAACTAACTAAGAAAAAAAAATATTGTAGAAAAGAAAAAAGAAATAGAAAATATAGAAACTAAACTAACAAAATTGCAATAACAAATTTAAAGAAGAAAAAGAAAAAAAAAAAAAAAGAAGAAGAAGAAAAAGAGGGGAAAAAGGTATAACATATATATAGGGATGACAATGGGGTGGTTTGGGGCGCGGAACACCATTCCATCCTCATCCCCGTTTAGCATAATTACTCCCATCCTTGCCCCAAAATTATTTATAAAGTATTTTTATTATTGTACTACCAATCTAACAAAAGTAAACAATGAAATAAATTTTCAATTATGGTAATAATTCTTTTTCTATTATGCGGATAAAAACCAATATTCAACTTCTCAATTGGAACTTTAGACTAATATCATAAAAATATTAAAATACTACATAAAATTTATCGAATTATGAATAATATAAAATGATATTTAGTGAATGGAATAGAATAAACTATGATTTGTTTAATATATAGCTTATATTATTGAATATAAAACAAAATATAAGTACAAAATTATAATTTATCACTATAAAACGGGACAAGGCAGGATGACCTTTCCCTATCCTCGCCCCATAACGGTGCGAGTTTTCAATCATAACACTCATCCCCGCCCCCAAACCATTTAACCAACCCCATAACATTTCTAAACGGGGCGAGGTGGGGCGGGTACCCAACATGGCAGGATATTTTGCCATCCCTACACATATATCATACATGAGGGTAAGAAGAAGAATTAAAAACAATAAAAATAAACCAAGGAGCCCCTTGAGTTAAGGGTAGCTCCGTCTTCTTTTGTGTTGGATCGGATCAAATTATGTATCAATCTTAATTCGATTTGATTCCAACAAATTGAAAAAATTTGAATCTGCTACCAATACGTAGGATAACAGATTAGATCCACGGATTAGGGTTTTTCCATATAGCCCAATATTTTTTTGTTATTTTTTAATCATGGCCCAATAAATAACATTTTAATTTATCAAACATTGTTTCATATATTTAAATGATCATTTACTAAAATATTCTTAGAAGGCATTACATGATCATTATCTAATTTTAATTGAAAAGATTATTAATTAATACATTTCTAGAACATATATATCACGGATCAGATTTTTAACAGTCCAATCCATAATCTAACCCGTGAACTACAAATTTCATATTATCGAATCCACTACTGATTTGTGAGTCTAACAATCTGATCAGATAAAACTTGCGGATTGACGAATTTGATGCCCATTCCTAAAGCTTATAACTTTCATAGTGACTTGTCCTCGCTTATAAGGAGAAATAAAAAATGAACAGGGGCGGAGCCAGGATTACAATTTAGGAGCGAAGTGTAATTTTTTTTGAATAGTTGACTAATATAAAAATGTGACCAATACAAAAATTTAAGGCATAGTTTGGTGCGGTGGAATGAATTGGAATGGAATGAGAATGGAGGTGGGAATGGAATGACAAGAGAATTGAATGAGAATGATAATTTACATTCTACCGTTTGGTTGCAAATATGAAATGTGTAAAAATGGAATGCTCATTTTCATTTGGTAAGAAAGTTGGAATGGAATAAATTTATATTGTTTCTTTAAATTATATTTTATTATTAGTAAAAAAATTTAACTTCTACAAAAACAAAAGGGAGAATAGATAATAGAAACAGAAAATAAACAAGATAGAGAGAGAAAGTAAAGAAACAAAAATATATGTATATGTAAGTATATACATGTATATATATGTAGGTATTATAGATATAACAGGGCGAATAAGAAATTGAATCTGAAGCGTTCGTTGTGCCCAAGCAAAGAAGAGAGTCTTCTCACTGTTCTGGCAAAAGTTCAGACCTTCGGCTTCCCTTAAAACAGGTGAACACTGAGACTCTCAACTTCCACTAAAACCAGTGAAAGCCCTTCAGCTCTGGCAAATCAGCGAGCTGCATTCAAAGACTCAATAGTTCCGGTGAAGATACACCCAGCTGATGCTCCATCACCATGAACGCTGGCGAGCTTCATTCAACCAGTGATTCCGGTGTGAATTCTGAGCAACAAAGGTCTATTAATTCCGATGTGCTCCAGTTGCAGAATCTTCATCCTTCTGGCGAGCTGTTAAGTTTTAGCTCACTCCGATGACCCACCAAAGTTCACATCCGAAGCTTGGTCAGTGAGCATCGACGATTCAACTGAAGCATTAGTTCCAACGTGCTTCAATCACGGCGACCAACAGTTCCGACAAACTTTGTGAATAGGTCCGGCGAGGCCAGTGATGACCAAACCAAAAAGTTAGTCCGGCGAGCCTCATCCCACACATGTGAGCTTCACTTTTACGTGTGTATTTTTGGTAGGCAGAGAGAGAGACCTTGGTATTTTTTGTCTTTAATTTTTTTTTTTTTTTACGGAGTATTTTTTAGTGAGAATGAGTGGGAATGAAATGGTCATTCCACCTCTCAAGAAGAGGAATGGATATTCCACCTTCTAGATGGAATGGACATTCCTTGGGAATGTCCATTCCACTTTTAATGTGACACACCAAACAAGAGAATGAAAACAAAAGCATTCCATTCCAACTTCATTTGAGTCCGTTCACTCACACCAAACATGGCCTAAAAGTTGTTCAATAATATTTACACGAAATACAGTTGTAGGCCTTTACATGAAATTACACCATTGAATTCATAAAATTTAAGTCTGGTGAAAAAAGTTACATACCACAAGTGCAAAAAGAAGAATTTCAAGAAGCAAGAAAGAAGAAGAAGAAGAAGAAGGAAAGAAAAATGAGAACTTTGAAAGTTAAAAAAAGAAGAAGAGTATAATTGAAGAACAAACATTTAACTCTCTTTTTTACCAATAAAATTTAAACCTGGTGAAAAAAAAGTTAGACACTACAAGTGCAAAATGAAGGATTTTAAGGGAAAAAATTAGAATCTAATTGAATAAGGAAAATTTAGTTTTTTTTTTTAAAACGAAAATTAAAGTAATCTAAAGAGGAAAAGAGAAAAGAAATAAAAAGTTAAGATATAATTTTAGAAATTTTAAAAACTAGGGGGCATTATATAGTATTTTTTCTAGATATATAGAAAAAAAAAATAAAAAAATAACCATATGAGTATAGATGTTGGAGTTTGGTCAGAAGGCACGTGCCTTCCGGACTTTAATTGGATTCAAAAGATGTATTTTGCTCAAAATTAAATTATTATTTTTTAAATCATAAGATATAGAAAATGAAAAAAAAAAAAAAAAAACAGATAGTGACAGATATATTTAAGCATTAATCAAAACCCATATAAAGAGAAGTTAGGATTTCATGTGAGTTGAAGTTATCGAGTGAGCTAGGTTTGCATATCATCATTATACATGCTCAAAAGTCATCATCTATTCCTAGATTCAAGTGTTTTTTTTTCCTCACTTTCTAAAGAAAGAGGTTAAAAGTTGTAATCGGGACAAAAAAAGTCCGTGTGATTGCCTTTGAAAAGAAAAATAGCAGTACACGTTTTGACAAGTCGCTCTCTTTTCGAAGCAGCGACATAACCCTCTCCGTCTCTCTCCCCGCCAAACGGCGCCGTTTACTGCCTGATTGATCGGTCAGTTCCCTTCTCCTTCTTGTCATGGACGACCTCTCTCTCATGTCTCTCTAACCGTCTCTCTCTTCATTTTGCCGGCAAACCAAGAACACCGTTTGGTTCAATTCTCTTCACCCATTTCCTTTCTCTCTAGTTGTCCAGTAGGCGAGAATTGAGTATTATAGGGAAATCAATTCTAGGGTTTAATCTCTCTCGCTCTCTTTCTCTCTGTCTCTCTCTCTGTGGGTTTTGTAGAGGGAATCGGAGGGATGCGAGTGTTTGGGATCACGGAAATCAGAAGGATTCGTCAACAGCTATGTTACGGCGGCTGAGATGGATCATAGGTTTAAACAATAACAACAATAGTCAGAGAAGTTCGGTTAATTCGAAGAGGCTGACTAATGCAAAGACTTTGCTTTTGTCACCCCCACAATCTGTCAAGCGAAGTAGCCCAATGTTGGAGGCAGTACACGAGATTGCTATTTACATTCACAGGTTTCACAATCTTGACCTTTTCCAACAAGGGTATGCTCTCAAACTCTCATCACTACCCTGTTTTGGGCTTTTCACTCTCTCAATTTTAATTGGTCATCTAGGGGTTTTTAACTTTCACATTTGTATATGTTGTATACATATTGTATATAGATGGTATCAGATCAAGATTACAATGAGATGGGAAGATGGTGATTATACAACCATGGGAACTCCATCAAGAGTTGTTCAATATGAAGGTAGTTTTACTTTAACTATACATATGCCCTGATACATTTGTATATTACTTCTATACATGCAATTCTAAGCAGGTAACTTGGGTTTTTAATTTATTTGCTACATTTTACATCATAAAGTTGTTGCTAACATAAAAGGGAAATCTTTGTGATGTTGTGTAATTCAAGTCAGTATTGCCTAATATATAAAAACAAATCCGTTTTTGTTATTTAGCTCCAAGGCATTGTGCTCTTTGCGAAGTTGAGAAGTTGAGCTCAATGTCATTAAATATTTGTATCAATCCGTCTTCCTTTAATTAAATGAATCCCCTAGCTACCTTTGACCCAGAATCACGCCGCATCTTCTTTTGAACTCTGTTGCTAGCAGTCTACAAACCCGTTCTTCACGCTATCTGATCTTCAATCCATGCTTTGATCTCCTCAACTAGTCGTCCATTCTTTGACTTGTTCTGTGGAATTTGTTGTGGTGTTGAAATTCTTGTAGCTCTAGGATTCGTATGTTTCAACACTTAAGGTCAATCACCATCTATATGAATGAATGATGAATGAAAAGAAACAAAATAGTAGCATTCAAATTGCTATTTTGAACTCATTGTTTGCCATTTAATGCAATACGATGCTTAAAATATCTTGGATAGTTTTTATTAGTAACACTTACCGTACTTGCCCAAAAAAAAAAAAGGTGTAACACTTACCCTTTTTAGAGAAAGCTTTGAGGTAGGGAAGGATTAGTGTTCAAGTGTTTGATATGCTTTTCAAAGCTGCCTCTTCGCAGAATTTGATGGATTGAGATATAAGTTTGATCAATCGAACACCTTTGATCAATCAAGCTCCCTTGTCAATTAAGATTTATGTTTCTGAAAACCGTTTATGCACTTTAAAAAAAAAAAAAAAACATAAAGGACAAATTTGAAAATTAAAAACCCAAATATGTTTAATAATATGAATGCACGCTTATTGCTTATGATACCTAAATAAGTGAGTGCAAAAATTTGAGAGTCGAACTTACCATTTTTCTTGATTAAGATTTAAATTCACCATTTTGTCCTTGAATAAAGGTAATCCAACTAACTACCAATTCTAACTTTTGAAAACATAAACAAAAAAGTGAATCACATTATAGACCGTCTTGTATGACATTTGTTAGGACGCAGTCAAGTACACTGGACACAAATTTTTTACGTAAAAGATCAAAATGGGAGAAACCTAGACTTGAGCACACAAATTCACTATGAAGAAAAAGATTATTACCTTTTTCACAAGTCTAGATTCTACCCTAGAATCATCCGTAATTGATTTACCTTTGATTTACAATTTTGCTACGGCTAGTATATAATCTAATTCCTTTGGGCCAGCTTTCTGCTCTCTCCACGTCACCGATTACCTCCTCTGCTCCGCTCCGCAACCTCTTTTTTTACTAGTGATCTGCTACAACCATAGTTGTTAAAGGCGCGCCTAGGCTCCATAAAAAAAACCTAGGCCAATCAAGACCCAGTTAGAGGCCTCAACCTACTACAGGCAGGCCCCTTCAGTTAGACTCACGTAAAGCCCTCAAACATGCGCTTTTTAGTAGGCTTCAAGCTAAAACAGCGCACTTTTTTTTTTTTTTTTTTTTTTTTTTTTTTTTCTTTTTAGTAATATATATATATATATATTTATTTATTTTATTTTATATTTTAATGTTGTTTTTACTTATAAAAAAAAAAAATTTTTTTTTTTTATATCATTTTCGTTTTTGTTTGATGGCCATTAACAGTAGCATGTTCTATATTGTCACAATCATATTTAACTGATCATATTGTTCAACCCTATGATATATTTGACAAAACTCATAAATTCATAATCGAGTACTTAGATTAATTGCATTTTCGCTTTTTGAATACTTATAATAATATATGTTTAAATTTTTACATCATTATAAACTTTTTTTTTTTTTTTTGGTTTCACATTTAATTTGGTCAATGCATATGCATGTGAAAGGATGTATGCTCACTAATTCACCTGATCCTCTTAGTTGATACATCAAAATTTTCATTTTTAGAGAATGTTTAGCTAGTTGTAGTGCATATCTTGAATTGTATTGATTGCACATTGATTTAATTGGATTCGTATACAACTTGAAAAGGTGAATGTATGTTGATTTAGCTAACCGATTGAATTAATATGTTGAAAAAAATTCCTCTAGTTTGATATCACTAGTTTGTGTTGCATATTTTTATTAATATATATATTTTTTTGATAAGTAAAAATTCATTAAAGGCGCTCAAAAGGAGAGCGATCCCAAAAGAAAACACAAGATGCTACAACTTTAAGCTATCAAAAAAATCCAAAAGACGATCCGTAGATATACAATTCCTCCCATTTACCCAAAAAAAACAAAGAATTCAGTATATTGTATTTGAGAGCCCAAATACGAGACTCCTCCCCAACAAAGGATCTCCTATTTCTCTCACTTCACAGCCCCCACCATAAACATAGAGGAGTGGCCCTCCAAGCATCACACACTCGGCTCTCCATTATACACCCTTTCCAAGTCTCAACTAGGTCGACCGTTGACTCAGGAAACACCCAAGCCAATCCAAAAGCAACCAAGAACATATCCCAAATATCTCTCGCCACTGGACGCATGCAACACTAACCCACCACGACCTGGCGTCTCCTTCTGAGGTTATCACAAGTGAGAATGCTTCCAAGGGCAGTGGTCCATGCAAAGAAAGCCACCCTCAAAGGGGCTTTCGTCCTCCAAACAGCTCTCCAAGGAAAGTGTTGGCTAGGAGTCTCCATCAGATTCCGGTAAAAAGATAGAACCTCAAACACCCCTCTCGAGGAAGCCTCCCACACCATCTCGTCCATTCCCACACCCTCCACCACCTGGTAATTCAACAATGCAAGGAAATCAGTGACCTCCATAATCTCCCAATCTTGAAACTCTCTGCGAAATTGGACATCCCAAGGAACCCTTCCATTATCAAGCTGATAACGGTCAGCAACTACAACATGTTTATTCACAGAAATTCCGAAAAGGCGAGGAAATCTAGAAGCCAAAGAAAAATCCCTGCACCATCGGTCCTCCCAAAATCTGATGTGTCTTCCGTTTTGGACTTTGAACCTGATACGTTTGGAGAATTCATGCCACCCCTTCCAAATGAGCTTCCAAGCCTCCATACCTGCTGGGACTCTCGCTTCCCTTGAAAACCACCCCCCATTTCATTCCCTGTAGCGACAAGAGATAACTCGCCTCCATAATCTTTCCCTCTCGCCCCCAAATATCCATCTCCATTTGCCTAACAAAGCTTTGTTGAACACATCCAGCCCACGGATCCCCAAGCCTCCTTTAAAAATAGGAAACTGTCTCCCAATTGACTAGGTGATATTTGAACTCATCTCCCATGCCTCCCCAGAAAAAAATTCTCTGAATCACATCAAGTCTCTAAGCCACTGTCTTAGGCATCTGAAATAGGGACAGAAAGTATGTAGGCAAATTCAAAAGAGTGTTTTTCATAAGCGTCACCCTCCCCCCTTTCGACAAGTACTGCTTTTTCCACCCCGCAAGCCCCCTCTCAAATCTTTCAACCACCGGGTCCCAAACTGATAATCTTCTAGACGACGCCCCCAAGGGAAGCCCCAAATATGAAATTGGAAAAGAACCAACTCTGCATCCCATGATGTCTGCATACTCCTTAATCTACTCAACCCTCCCCACTGGGACTATCTCACTCTTCCCAATATTTATCTTTAACGCCAAAACCACTTGAAAACAGGCCAACACACATCTCAAGTGTCTCAACTGATCAGCTCTAGCATCACAAAAAACGATTGTGTCATCCTCGAAAAGCAAGTCAGAGATTGTCAACTGGTTGGGAAGTCTGCCCACTGAGAATCCTTGGATAATTTTAAGCTCTTCTGCCCTTCCCATCAATCTACTAAATGCCTCCATAACAATGATGAACAAGAATGGGGAGAGAGGATCACGTCTTATATTACCCCTTGCATCATTTGGCACCTTAGTGCGCCTTGAACCTTTAACAACTATGGTTGCAACCACTCTCTTTGAGCAACATCCGATACAATTGAGCACTGTCAATGTTCTCCAAAACTAAGACTAGTAGCAAATTTCAAATGTGTACCAAATGAAGTTCAATACTTTTGCTGAAGATCTTTTTTGGATGGGCAAACTAATTCCTTAACTTCGATCAACTTCAGCATAAACAGTTGTACTTTTGAATGATTTCTAAAAGATGCCCTAAATTATTTCCTATCGCTCAAAAGATGTTTTCTTTAATGTATATCTGTGTACTTACCAAAAAAAATGTACATCTGTCCAAAACTTACCTAGCTGTATGATTAGTATTCCATATGGATCCTTGTCAGTTTGGACTTGTTATAATTTGATTCAAATTAGGAAACTTCACAGATCTTAATAGAGTTTGGTTGTGTTGGTAGATTTTTTAAAGAATTTTTAACTTTGTACATGTAGAAATTAGCAATGTTCTTGTTCAAAATTGTACTAGTAGAAAAGTCATTGGAGTAAGTTGTACAGTTGGTGAAATTAAAATATACATGTGCAAAAGTTACTTGACGATGTTGTATGGGTAGATTAGAAAAGTTGCATTCGTAGATGTTGTAAAGTATAAAACGGAAGTGAAGAGATAAATAAAACGAGTAAAACACACATATATTACGTGGTTCAGCCACTAGGGCCTACATCCACGACGCAAAGAGCCCAAAGGGCTACATCACTTTTATAATACTCTCTCAATTCATACCACAATACAATGGTGGAGGCTCCTTTATATAGGAGAAGAAATTATGAGAATGGAAAGAGATAGAAAATAGGAAACATGGAGGATTTTTCTCCACTGATTCCTCCGGTAACACTAAATCTTCAATATTAGGAAACAACATCAATTACTGAAAGATTTTCCTCCACTGATTCCTACATTAAATCTTCAATAGTAGAACTGTTATGTACACTTAAGAGTGTTAGTTAGCCATTTCCACACCTTCTCCCAAAATATTTTCACATCTTTTTCAGTTTTTAATACGGCCAAATACTTTTTAACATATCTTAAAAGTCACACTTAGGTCCGAGGAAGATCCAACTTTTAACTAGAATTACCATCTAAAACCTAAGTTTTTATGTGGTCTCAATCACCTTACCTAATGTGAGATATGAAGCAATGAAGAACTTCACCAAGGTCTCTAAGAAGTTCCATCTCAACTTTGGATCTCCACTTCAATATTGTATCCTCCTTGTATGTTGACCATGACTCACACAAACTAGACTCAAACTGACTTGGACATTTTCTACAAATTACAGAATCCTTTATTTTGAAATTTGCCAACATTTGTCCTTCAAAATTGTATACTGGAAGAACTAGAATAAAATTGCATACTGGAGGAGAGTTATCAGTTCTAGGTTTGGAGAGGATAGGATAGATAATTTAAAGCACATTCGATTCAGGGTGCGAAGTGTAGGGACATTCATTTTTGGGAGGATTTATGGTGCGAAGATCAGCCGCTAGCGTGTGCCTATCTGAGACTCTTCCGAATTGCCATGGATAGATGGGCTTCGGTTGTTGACTGTTTTTGGCTCGATAATGGGAGAACGACTTGGGATGTGTAGTTCCAGAGGCATTTGCAGGACGGACTGGGTGTTGAAGGATATCATTGAGTTCCTGGTGTTGTTGTATCATAAGGTGGATGGAGTAGGGATTGACAATTGGTTCTGGGCGGCTTCCTCTCAGGGGAGATTCGAGGCGTGTTCTTTTTATAGGAGATTGTTGGTTGCTTGGGGCATTTATTTCCATGGAAGGCAGTATGGCGCACCAAGGCTCCTCTTAAAGTGGCCATTTTTGCCCAGACGACAATTCTATGGCGGATATTGACTATTTACAATTTGAGGAAGAGGAAATAGATTATCGTGAATTGATGTTGCTTGTACAAGAGGGATGAGGAGTTGGTGAATCATCTTCTTTTGCACTGTCCAGTGGCTTGGGACACTAGGTTGTGCTTTTGGGTTTATTTGGGGTTCACTAGGTCATGCCATGTACCACGAGGAGTATGATTGAGGCTTGGAGAGGCTATATAGTGGGAAGCCAAGCTTGAGATGCTTGGAGGGTGGCGCCCTTGTTTTTGATGGGGCTTGTAGAGGAAGAGTAATAGGAGATTCTTTGATGGAGAGGAGTGTCCTATTGTGGTGCTTAAGATCTTTATTGTTAGCTCTCTTTTTTAATCGACTCTTGGGCGAAATTGTTAATCTACGGGGGAGATAGTGGATATGTCGAGATATTAGGGGCCCTATTTGGCCCTTGTGTAGTAGTTTTGCAAGATGTGTTCCTCGTTTGAGTGTTTTTTTTTTTTTCCTTCTTCTTTCTACTGATACTTGTATAAAAAAAGAAGAGTAAAATACATCAACAATCTTTGATGTTCTGACATCAAATGACTAAATTATTTTAGATCTGACTAAATCTAGTGAAAAATGAAGGAAAATAAACTTAAGGATTGAGTGAACTTGTGGAAACTTTTGAGTTGCGATGTTATTTTAAATCTTATGTTTTATGATAAGTAGTAAATTCAACGTTTTAAAAATCGATTGTATAAAGAGAAACAAAGACTAGAGGAAAAATTTGCAACAATATTTGAATTGAATAAGGTTTTTTTTTTTTTAAATAAAATAAATCTATCTATATATAGATGGAAAAAATAAAACTAAGGAAACAAAATACTTAATGGGTAAGAAAGATAAGAGTGGTTTTACAAGTGACTTTGGAAACCAATGGCATTTAATTTTTTTTTTTTGTTTTGTTTTGTTTTTCAATACATAACGGATTGGTTAAATATAGTTACACAAAGAAAGTTTGTTTTTGAAAGTCAATGACTTCTGGGATGATTGTGCATTTTGGCGATTAATCAATGGACATTTTAGTTGTTTCTTGAATACACAATGGAGTTTGTATGTAGAGAAAGAATATGACTTAGGGAATATCAATGACTTTTGTGTAATGGGTAAGAATGACAATACCGGATTAAGTTGTCTTTCAGAGGTGGTTCAACTTAGATAGGTAATTGTTAGTGAACTGTTATGTAGTTTAAAAGGAAAAAAATATGAATATATATATATATATATATATATATATATATATATATATAAAATGGAAACCCTATAAGCTTTTATTAGTAGTTAAGATAGATTAGAGTTAAATTTAGATTAGAGGCTAAACGTATTGATTTAAGAGTAGTATTTAAATAATGCATTACTGCTTACGAGGTAAAATTTCTGTAGTGGTAAATAGTGGACCATGCTCCTTCACGACTCGTACACTTCTCAGTTCACCTTCATTGGCTGTATTCATTTCCTTCCTCCTTAGTTCTTACATAGCGCCAAGTAATACAATGAATGCCAACAATATAGACATAAGTAAAATTCAAAGTTTGAGGTGACATGTTTTGAACCTGGGATTGGGCCTAAGCAGTTGATGCTTCGGTATTTGACTCTTGATATCTTTTTATTTATTTTCTAAATTGTTAGCAGCTGCCCGTGATTTATATCATTACAACATATTCAAGCAATGTAAAGAAACATACCCCATACATATAGGTGGTCCGGAGTTCGCACACTTAATAGTTTATGTGTTAAACGTTCTCAAACTCTTGTTTGCTTCTGGTTCTCATTACATTTTAAGTTTCTTTTGCATGAACTAAGAGCTAAGAAATGATAACACCTTTGTTTGAGCTGCAGCTCCTGATTTGGGGTCAGATGATATATACGGGGTCTGGAGAATTGATGACACAGACCACAGTTTTTCAACGCAGCCTTTTCGGATCAGATATGCAAGGCAGGATGTTCTTTTATGCATCATGATTTCATTCAACCTTTCTCTCAGTAAATATGAGGTAGTGCTCTCTCTCCCTCTCTCCCCGTCTCTGTGTGCGTGTGTGCATGTGCATGTTAAGAAAATGATTATATGAAGAAGCAGGAATCTCCTTCAAGAGCAAGTGAGCAAGGCAATGCATCAATTCTCGGAAAAGGTGCTTATATCTGCATGGCTTTTTAGCCCCTAGCTACTGTGATGGCATTAGGATTGTTTCCTTCCACATTGATGTTGGAAAGTTGCTGTGCATTGCTATCCTTGGCCCATGGGGAAAGAATTTGTGTTGAAAAATCCCAGTGTCTATTTATCTGTCTAACCTTCTCTGCATGTCCCTGTTTACCCTAAAATTTTGATATTGATGATATATTGTTGGGGAAACTGATATGTCGTAATATTACCAGGGTACATCCACTTCTGCTGTGATTTTGAAATTTGAGCTTATGTATGCGCCTGTATTGGAGAGTGGGTCAGTTGATGGAACTCATTTGTTGGCTTTTGAACCGATTTTAAAACCCAAATCAGTGATTTTTTTATGCACTATCTGCAGGTTTGAATTGCAGGATTCTCTCGATGCATGCCCTGCTGCAGTCCATGAATTTCGAATTCCTCCTAAAGCTCTTCTGGGATTGCACTCATATTGCCCTGTCCATTTTGATGCTTTCCATGCCGTTCTTGTTGACATAAGTTTACACATCAGTCTATTAAAAAGTGGTGTTGACACTGCCCCGTCGAAGGTACCCAGGTTTGTCACATAGTCCAGTTTCTTAAATTGATAATGGGGTCAAGACCATTTTACCAAAATCCAGAATACTATGTTCTTGGGTTTTTAATGCTACTATTGGTGTTATTTGCTGGCTAATTAAATATATGCTACTAATTTGTTATAGTAACTTTATTAGTTGGATTCTTTTCAGTGTCTCCACTGATCGAGATGTTGCTGGTGAAAATTCTGATAAGTCGAAGCAGGTGCTCTCTAAGTTGAATTCTATATTACTTACACTTCCACCTGATTTGATTGGTTAATTACTCATTCTTTTACATATCTACATGGAGCGCTTTATTTTATTGCTGGTCTTCATGCATTTGATGTTTTTAAGCTCCTGGAACTTTTGCGCCTCTCTCTCTCTTTAAACATATCTGCGTGTATGTCTAAGAACTTATGTATATATGTAGCTTGTTTTACTTCAGACAAGTATTTAATATAGTGTAGTTTGATTTTTCTGCTCTATCTGTACCTGTGTTAAGGTAATATCTTCATATACAATTGGTTGACTTTGATGACTTCCTCCAGAGATGTAGACTTTAATTCATGTCACATTCCCTTGTTTATAATGTATATTGATCGCTGTACTAGAAATCATATTTCGGTAGAGGAGTTACTGTTTCACTTTTGAGTGTATAGTTCCATATTAGGAGTTATTACTTTTATTAATTTGTGCTTAGCCTAAATAGCACAGATGTGGATGTGGGTCATAGGCATAATACAAGAAGGCAAACCCTTAAAAAGTAGGACACAGACACAATAGTATATAAATATATAATTTTAATTTATTTTCTGATTTCTATATAGAGATTTGTGTAATTGGAAGAGGAGGCTCGAAAAATATCATATAGATTCGTCTAAGTTATTATGTATTTTTTTTACATTGTTATTATTGTCCTCTTTAGCACCCTTTTTTGTTGGGTCCTAGGGAGATAATGTAAATCCATGGAGGAGCTTGTAGATTGATTGGACTCATTGAGGGTTTAGAGGGCTTGACTGGCCTTGTGTAGCTTTTGAGGGATGCGTTCCCCTTTTGAATGCTTTTTATACAATCATTACTTATAAGAGAATTATTATTTTTTTGACTCAACATAGAAATAAAGAGACTCCAGCTTTTGTTACGAAATTTGCCAATTTATGGCACTAAGTCCTAAAAATGGGAAAAATGTTTTGTAGCTTTGGTAATTGACGAAAATGTTTTAACCTGTAACTAGATGATGAGCTTTTCTAGCCTCTGAATGTACCACTTAGTAGCTTTGTATTCATAGAAGATTCTTTAATGTGGTAGCCCTGTTTGTTCTTTAAGATCTTTTTTGCATGCTTGAGAGTCCATGTTGGAGCCACTAGTTTTATGCTTGAATATGGCTAGGAATCTGCTAGTGGTATTTATATTATTGATTTATTTATTATTGTCAACCATTTTTATATTATTGATTTTTTTATTATTTTCAACCTTTCCTTCTATATTTTTGTTAAAACAGGTCAGGCTTATTAAAGCTTTATTAACTGCTCGTGACATACTTATGGAAGAGCTCCAAAAACTTAGCAAAGCAATTAATCAAACAATTGATTTAAATGATTTTACTTCAAACCTGGACGATACAAAGTTCTCTGGTTATCGCCTGCAAACGAATGTGGAGAATGCAGATGCTGGAGGTTTTGGACAGGTATCATGCGAGCCATACAATGTTATTTAGGTTCTTCATTAATTCCATGCAGCAAAATATTTATAATTCTGTTTGTAATCTTGATTCTTTTATGGATTTTGCTTAATCCATGTTCTCTCTGTCTGTTGAACAGAAGCCAAATGGTATTATTGATGTTCAAAGCAATGGGTCTCTCCATTCCTCATCTGCGGATGAACTATTGAATTCTTTCCACTCACTTGGAAATCAAATATTGTATTTATGGAACACATTTTTGAAGTTCCACAGGTTTGTTTTTTCAGAATTTACCACACTTTTGTTTTAATCTTTTCTCAAATTCAGCGCATCATTTATTGGTGCTTTGAAGTAATATTTTAGGCTTTTTAGCATGCAACTCTATTTTTTGTGTTTGCTTTAGATTTATGGGACAAATATAAGGAAAAGACAACCTTAGTAGATACAGGAGAAGTTTGTTTCTAATTTTCCCCTATTGACCATCATTATCATTGCCTTCATCCCACATGAATGGGGTCAGCCACATGAATTCTCTATCTTCACTCCTTTCTATTACGTGACATATCGCCTACAATATTGAACATTTTGAAGTCATTTTTAATAACATCATCTCATGTTATTTTTGGTTGCCCTCTCTCTTTTACCTTCTAAGACAACTACTCTTCCTCCTTTGACTGGCGTGTCACTAGGTCTCTTATGTATTTGATTGGTGTGTTACTCGGTCTCTGATGTATTTGACTGGCCTGTCACTAGGTCTCTGATGTATGTGTCCAAACTATCTAAGTCTACTCTCTAATTTTCTCACGCACTTTCTTTCTTTTTGATTAGTTTTCTTGTCTTTTTATAATTATTTACTATACTGACTGATGGAGTGGGGTTCTCATGCACTTTCATTAGTGAACCTATCTCTTCTAATCACTCTGCTCATCCATCTTAACATTCTCATTTTCACTACATATTGGCACTGTTCTTGTTTCCTTTTTAGGGCCCAACACTTCGATCCATACAATATAGTTGGTCTAATAATGGTCATATAGAATTTTTTTCAGCCTATATGTTATTCTTTTATCACATAAAATCCCACCAACTTGTCTCCATTTGGTCCATCCTGCGTCAATTTTACTAGATATCACCATCTATCTCTCCATCCTTTTTTATTAACGATTCTAGTGGTGGTTTTATCTACTAGATCCCACTACCCATCTCTCCATCTTATATCACTCAAGTGGTTGTTTTGAGTAAACTTTTTTATTTTGAAGTGTTATCACTATATCATTGTTGAAGGATTTAAATATTAAAGTTACACCCTCCCTGATAGCTTAAGCTTTTGGAGTAGATGGTTGTTAATATGGTATCATAGAAGGTAAGGTCCTATGTTCAAACCTCATTGTCACCTTAATAATTAAAATTGAAACACGTGTTGGACCAAAAAGATGGCCACATGTGAGGGGGCGTGTGGAAGGAATTAAATATTAAAGGTACACCTTTTTTGATAGCTTAAGCTTTTAGAGTATGTGGTTGTTAACAATCATCAATGTCCGCGTCTTTTTTAAAGGTACACTCCATATACTTGGTTTTAGTTCAACTAATTCTCAATCCTTTCGATTCTAAAGTATTTCTCCACATTTCTAGTTTTTATGCTACCTTTCCTTTGGAGGTATCTAAGATCTATATCATCCGCAAACATCTTGCACCATGGAATCTCATTTTGGAAGTCTCTTGTTATTTCATCTAAAGATTATTGCGAATATATATGGGCTTAGCATCGATTCTTGGTGCAATCCTAGGTTTATGGAGAAATCACTATTTCGCCACACGTGGTATGAACTTTAGCTTATGTTTTGATATACATATCTTGGATACTTTTTATGATTTGTGAAGGGATGTGTTTTCTTTGTAGAGCCCACCAAATTATGTCTCTTTGGACCCCCCTATTAATAGTAGAAAATAATCTTAAACTTGTATCAGATGCTTCATATAGACAAGGATCAAAGGAAAGTTTTCCAAACTATGAAGACAAACTTCCTGATCTCTAGTCAATTCAGCTAGTGTTAACACCTCTAGGTTGGCTACATCAATGCAATTTCTTGATGTAACGAACTACTTTGAGACATGGGGGGCCATGGCTTCCCAAACAATTTGTAATACATCTTTAAAAAGGGAGGCCTTCTTATGAATAGTGAGCTTTAAAATGGTTAAAATATTTGCATGTGGTCCCCCAAAACTTATAAGCTCAATTTTGAGTCATTTTGGTGTTACTTATGGAAATATACTTTTAAAAGGAAAATTAAAAAATTCCATATAAAACTCCTATCCTCGTTTTTCTTGCATGAGGTAATAGAAGTAATGTAGAGGTGTCCTACATTACCTTCATTCGTAGTCTCAATGTGATACCTATTACGATGTAGGTCTCTAATGCTCAATAGGTTTCTTCAACATTTGGTAGAATATAGAGAATTATCAATGCGTATTCTTGTCCCACATGGTAACATAATATTGGCTCTTCCGGAGCCTCCAATCAGGTCTGTGGGACCTGATATTGTATTAACACTAGCCTCAACCAATTTTAAGTGGGAAAAATATTTTTTATCACGAAGGATTGTGTGTCGTTCCACTGTCTGCAAGGCATACGTCCTCGCCATTCACCGTGGAATTAGTCAATGCATTAGTCTGGTCCATGCATATTCATATATGCAAAAATCATATTTAGTTCTCATTACCTTAAAAGAAACTTTTGTGAAGAAAATAAAAGCATGCTGGAAATAACATATTGGATATCATATGATGAAGAGGAAGTAAAGCTAATCGGTGTGGACATTTCCATCACCAAGTCCATATTGGTCATTATGATCCTTAAAGAAATTTGACCATCTAGACTAAGTGATGCCTATTGGGCCATTATAATCAGTGAAATTCATTTCTATCTTCTTTCCCTTGTCTTATAATGAGGCTTGGAAAAGATCAGCTAAATGCTTAGGCACACGACAAATACTTTGCCAATGCCCTTGCATTCCACACCAATAACAAGCATTTTCATGTGCCTTAGGAGGTTGAGGCAAACCCTTCCCCTTTGCTTGCTTGATCTCATTTTTGTCCCACTTTTGGGGATATGATGTGAATTCTTATTATGACCACGGTGGTTGTAGCTATTTCTACCACGTCCATACCCACGACCACGTCCACGTCCACAACCACGACCGCGAAATGATACAGCATTCTCTTTAGGGATCGGTGCCGACCCGGTTGGACATGAATGTTGATTTTACAACAAAAGCTCATTATTTTGTGCTGCCACAAGCAGGCATGAGATCCCATAAATCTCTGCTCTCGATATTGCTGATGTAAAAGCACATTCTAGGCGTGAAAAGTGGAGTATGTTTTCTCTAAAATATCCTCCACAAAATTATTCTCTTCACAATTTTAATGTAGAGTTGATTTAGAACATACCGAATTATATTTGCATACCGATTATAATCCTGCAACCGGCAGGTGGATCCAATCGAATTGAGCTTTTGGGAGGATTACGGTCTTTTGATGACCGTATCTCTCCTTAAAGTTTTTCCACAAAACAAGTGGGTCTTTTACCTTGAGGTATTCAATTTTGAATTCCTCATTGATATGGCGGCGAAGGAAAATTATTGCCTTCGTCCTATCTGCAGACATATTTCACTTCCCTCTTTAATTGTATATCCAAGATTTGTATTTTAAAATCATATATATGAACATATATTCATATGTATGGTTAGATTGTAGGGATAAAGAAAATAAGCACTTAGCCATGTGTTCGGCTTGAAAACATAAATAAATAAATAAATACTTAGGCTTGCTTTCTGCCTGAAAGCGGAATGCTTTCTGCCTGAAAGCGGAAATAAATAAATAAAGCACTGGCCGTGTGTTGGACCTGAAAGCAGAAATAAATAAATAAAGAACTTAGCCGTGTTTTCGGCCTGAAAGCAGAAAAAAATAAATAAAGCACTTGGCTGTTCTGAAAGCAGAAGTAAATAAATAAAGCACTTGGCTGTTTGTTTGACCTGGAAATAAATAAATAAAGCACTTGGCTGTTCATTCGGCCTGAAAGCAGAAATTAATAAACTCAGCCATTTATTCGGCCTGAAAACAGAAGTAAATATATACAGGCTGTTGATCGGCCAAATAGGAAGGATAAATGAACACAGGCCGTGGTTCGACTAAATAGCAGGAATAAATAAATAAATAAACACTAGCCGTGAGTTTGTCCAGAGAGCAGAAGTAAATAGATAAATATTTAGCCGTATGTTCAGCTTGAAGGCATAAATAAGTAAATCCTAATTTTCTTACCCCGAGAAAGAAAAATAAGATATTCTCCTCACTTGGTTAGAGCACTGTGCTGATAACGTGTTGTATAAATGAATTGTTCAACAAAGCAAGCAAACCCAACAATCTATCAAAATTAATATCACGAGACAGAGATATAGTGTTGAGATAGAGAGAGGGAGTGAAAGCCTTTAATGTCAGACCCAAATATAGAAACAAAGAGAGAGAGAGAGAGAGAGAGAGAGAGAGAGAGCTGATATAGAGGGAGTGAGAGCCTTTAATGGCAGACCCAAATATAGAAACGAAGAGAGAGAGCTAAGAGAGAGAGCAGATAGAGAGAGAGTGATTGCTTTTAATATATTCGGCCAAAGAGTCAATATTTACACACATTAGCTGCCCATACAATGCTCATATATATAGGCAAAGGTCTGCCTTGGTCATCACTCATTTGCCTTGGTCACCACACAAATGTGGTGACATACGTGGTCTCTTTATTTCCAAGAGCTTTCTGTCAAAAAAAAAAAAAAAAAGAAAGTCCAAGAGCTTTGTATATACACATGATATAAGTGTGTGGGGTCCACACCAAATCTTTTCCCACAATTTTCTTGGACATAAAGAGGCCGCGTATGTCACCACATTTGTGTGGTGAGCAAGGCAGACCTTTCCCTATATATATGAGCATTGTAGAAGCAATAAGTATGAATGAAAGAAAAGAAAACAGATTCTGGCCAAAGTAATAATAGAAAGCAATCTCTTTCTATCAGCTCTCTCACTCTTCACTTTAGTTCCTATATTTGGGTTTGTAAAGACTCTCACTCCATCTCTCTATCTCAGCTCTACACATCCATCTCTCTTGAGATATTAGCTTTGATGGATTGTTGGGTTTGCTTGCCTTGAAACAATCCATTATTACACAACATTACTTTGCTTATAAATACCGTACTCTTAGGCAGAATACATACACATCTACAATAAAATTG